TTAATATTTTTTTGTTAGGTTGAGTCATTTTCTGAGATTTATTGGTCAACTATGTTTTTTTTAAATACAATGTTATATTTTATTATAGTATTATTTATAATATAGTACTAACTATAAATATAATTTTTTGAAGATCAATGAAAAAATGAAATCTCAAGGATTGATAATTCGTTCAACCAAATCTTCAAATTACTTTCATGTTATTTTAATCATCCTATGTATAACATTATACCAAACTTATGGTATAAATGAAAGATACTTATCCAATACTTATAAGAAAGATGAGGATACGGAAAATATTAAAGATATTCGAGAAAATCAGGTAAGCGATGAACAATTTTTTTACTTCACATTTGAAAATAGAAAAAAAGTAAAAAAGTGTATTCCTTTTCTTATTACACACACCTTTACATACACCTTTACATACACTTTTGTATTAATAAAAAAAAAAAAAATATATTTTTATTTTACCTCAAAATACTTATATGATGTTTAAGCAACACACACTGTGGTGCAATCAACTATTCTTATGCAAATTTAATTACAAATTTGGTTATTTTCATAGTAAATTAATTTTTTTTAAATTTTATATAATAAAATATAAATATAGGAGTACTTTTTTTGTTTTTAATTCTTTTCATTGTTCGATCTCACCTTCTCTCTCTTTCTCTCTCTCTCTCTCTCTTTTTTTCTCGAGTGATTCGTCCTTACGCCGGATGACAAAATGACAAAGGGAGAGTAGAGTTGCCCTAAGGCTTGCGATATTACCGTTTCCGTTTCGGAACTACTGCGAATACACACACACACACATATATATATACACATACACCTACACCCAACTCGTCTCGGTCTAACACCCCTTCCTACCACCCCCTTCTCCCAACCTTACACCCTTTTTTACGAACCTTTTCCGCGTGCACACCAGTTACCCGAAAAAAAAACCCGTCTCGTGATTGATTATGTTCGGTGTACTTTTGGCTGGTACCCGGTCCTCAAGCCTAAAGCGCGATTGATCGAACGAAAGAAACTTGAACACCTTAACGTTTGAGAAAAATGTATGGATAACTTGAGAAATAAAAAGGGAGAAAGGGAAAGAGAAAGAGAACAAGATTGCGAGATCATTTGCAAAGAAATTTTCTGTCATACGATAGACTGAAAATTTTGATTTAAACCTTTTTAATGCTGAATACTTTCAATCAAAGTGTTTTATTATTAATTGGCATTAGGAACTTGATAATTCATTGCTGCAAATATCAAATCTTATTTCTTAGAATTAGACAAAGATTTTGTTTAAAATGTCATTCGAAAATTTCTAAAAACAGTCAGCAGTGTTAAGAAAGAAGTGACGTAGATTAAAAAAAGAAGTATCTCGTTAAAACACTGAAAAAAAAAAAAGAAATGAGGGAAGAAAAAAGAAGAAGAAGAAGAAGTAGGGAGAAAATGAAAAGGGAAGTTAAAGGAAAAGGACAGTCGGTAGTGGTGGTGATGGTTATTTGCTTAAATGCCACCTATAATTGGGTGTAAAAGTGGTTCCTTTTATATTTTTATTGTACTTTCTCTTGTCATTTACCATAAAGTAAAAATAATAATAATTAAATAGGAGAGAAAAGACGAAGGACAAGAGTACCATTTCTTGAAGCATCCTAAAACATTTGTTATAGGAACTATAAGCTTGAGTTTTCTAGCCCTTTTTCCACGTACTGACAGCCACCATACCACCTGATGGTTGGTTGGTTGGTTGGTTGGTTGGTTGGTTGGTTGGTTGGTGATGCTGTTCAATGTGTTCACTGTTAGGATGTTCTCTGTTAGTTACTGGTTTTGCTAGGTTCCTAGCTTCCTAGCTTACTTTTGCTGGGCTTGCTGGGTTGGCTGGTTCACAAGGGCCCGTAGGGAATGAGATGCAGATTGCCAGAGGCCACTTCACCCAAGCTAGAGGGAGTGAATTTTTAATAACACCGAGAGACCGGTTACCTGCGGCTTCTCGCGTTCCTTCCTCTATGCAAGAGAAATCCCCCATTGTCTTCTTTCTCTTACCCACAATCTCTTTTTCTTTCTTTCTTTCTTTCTTTATTTCTTTTTTTTTTTTTTTACCCATCGAGTTCGTACGCGTTGCTCACCAACCGAGAGAGAAAAAAAGGAAAAGGAAAAAAAAAAAAGGGACAAAACGAATAGGATGCGTAACGGAACCGTACCCGGTGTTATTATAACCCGCCAACATGTTGAAAAAGTGTGTGAGTGAGTGAGAGAGGGTAAAATGAGGTGGTAAAATGGGAGGAAAAAAAGAATTGTCAACTACAAGACACTCTTCGCACGGTTCTCTTCTTATTCTTCTACTTCTTCTTCTTGTCTACAAAACGTTTTTTTCTCTCTCTCTCTCTCTCCCTCTCTCTGATTTATTCTCTACTTTTTATTTCTCTCTCTCTTTTCTTTTTAACATAATTTAGAACGATCAAAGTGAATCGATCGATTCAATGAATCATCATAGATCAATTAAAATTACAAATGAATCTGATGATAGTCCTGCTTTACGTTCATTCTTGAAAAATATTTTGAAAGCTCGTGACGAATTGAAGTGGATAGATCATGCTGCTGCTAATAATCGATTAAATCAACCAAATCCTTTTTTACAGTACGTTATACAGAAAATATTAATGTTATTATAATTAGATTATATGTGCCCATAATTATGAAAATGGTCTAAGTCATGTATCTCTTGTTTCGAGATATTTAAAGATTTTTATTTGAACACTAAAATGAATTCTATATAATATTGAAATAACAAATACTAATTAAATTCATTTTTGACAATATTGTAAAAATTATTACATTGAATTTATTTAGTTTAAAATAATGTGCAATGTTAAATAACTTATAAACTAATTTTGTATTTTAAATTTTGACTGAGATCACTTTCATAATTATGGGCACAATTGTTATCTCAACTTATGAAATTAAATAAAAATAAAACAATTGGAATTTTTAAAATATTGTTCATCATAATAATATAATATCCCCTTTAAAATACTCAAATTCATATTTAAAGAAATTTTCTATAGAAATGTAATATTATTCTTTGTTATTGAATTATTCTTGCTTCCTATTCCATATTTAGATCGAATAAAGTTATCATCGATAAAAGACATGCTACGAAAGAGGAAATACCATCGAACGAAATTAGAACATTTGCTTTAAACGAACCCTTGAATTTCAATAAAAATCCTCGATATGGAAGAAGTAACAATCGATGGATTCGTGATTATGCAATCCCTTATACGAATAATGATATTACAGGTTTCAAATTTATGATATTACTTAAACAATGTAAATGATTGAAGAATGACCATAACAAAATTTCATCTCAAAATTTTGTAGATCTCAAAATTGATGCTCCAAACAAAAGAGAATCTTCTAAGACCGAAGAATCATTGGAAGAATTGAAACGTACCGTATTAGAATTAAAAGAAAATCTTACAAGTAGAAATGAAAATTCTGATAGAAATAAAGCTATGGAAAAAGCAATATTTAATAATAAAGAAAAGGACAAATTTATCGAGGATGATTCAGATAAAAGGATTCTTTCGGAATTACCTGAAGATATGAACGAATCTGAAAAATCATTGAACAATGTTGAAAATCAAGATAGAAGTTTAATACTTTTGAGAAATAAAAGAACAAACTTGAGGAATGATCATTTCAACGAAATGGAAATGAATTTGTATAAACGTAAAAAACGTAGCAAAGAAAATATTAATAAAGAAAATAATTTGAATGATGATTCGTACTACGATAAAACAAATAAAGATAATAATAATAATAATAATTATTGGAAAACAAATAATTACAAAGAATTAACTAACGTTGATGATTTAATAGCACAACAAGCAAAACATTTTGATTACGCTAATATCAATAATAATATTAATAATAAAAATGTCCTAAGTGAATCTGAACGAATAATAAAACGTCAAAGTCCAGTAAGACGATTATTTGGGATAATAGAAAAGCAAAGTAATAATCGATCATTGTCCGATAATAATAATAATAATAATAATAATAATAATAATAATAATAATGATAATAATTGTTTCATCGGTAAAAAACATCTACGTAAAATTCTACAAACTTACGACGAAGATAATTTGGAAGAAGATTTTCCTCTTACCAACGAAGAAAATGATTTGGAAAGGAATGAGATAAGTAGTAAAGTTGCCAAAAGTTGTCATGGTAAGAACGATGAAAGGAAACTGGATTATCAAAAAACACAAATTAATCGAGACGAAAGAGAACGAGGGAATATTATTGAAGAAAATTTGGAAGGAAACGAAGACGATGAAAATGGTATGAAATTGACAGATTTTTAATTCGCTATTATTAACTTGCAATAATTTTAAATAAATAAATAAATGTATATATACGTTTCTTCATCTGCAAGATGATTCAGTAATACACAAAATTGTAATGAATATCGCCTAATAATAAATTACATGAATTTTGTGTTGATTTGACATGTTCAAATAATTATTGCAGATAATAAGGAAAATTTGAAAATTGAAAGAGATGTAAAAAATATGTCAGAAAATGTAAAAAATCCTTACGATGCTAGAGTTAACATGATGATCAAACAACGAATAGCATTGAGACACAAGGATGATAAAAATCATATTAGAAGAAAACGTTATCCATTGGGTATAATCGAATATTACGATTACGACGAGGAGATAAATGAACGTTCGAGAGAATCACAAATTATTGGTGACAATGATCAAAAGAATACTAATCAAAATGATAATCCAATAGATTCGAGTTTTAAATTAGGTAAACAAACAATTGGTCATTTCCAAATTTGTCTTTAGTGAAATTATTTTCTCACAATGTTTTCCTTCTTTGTATTATTATAAATTATAGATGCAAGTTTGCGTGAAGCACAGAACGAAACGTTGATGAAGAAGAAAAATGAGGAAGCCGAGGAAAAAGAGAAAGAAAAAAAAAGAAAAGAACAAATGGGAAACAAAATACCTAAACAACAATTTTTGATCGAGCAAGAACAACAAGCACGTGCTAAGAATGAAAATCCATCCGAGTCTCTTAGGAATAGCAAGGTCACGTTAGAGGGGGTGGATAAGGGGGTGAAAAAGGAGGTGGATGATAATAAAAGTTCGCAAATGGATCGAGAAAAATTAATTTTAAACGAGGCCGTACAACCCTCTGGCCAAATTCGCGATGAAAAGTCATTTGTACCAGGTTGTCAAACGAAATGGTAAATCTATATCAAGTTTTTATGTGAAACAAAATAAATGATAAATTTATCAAGTTTTCATATATAATTTTAATCGTGACGTGTGTATAGGTCGAACAATAGAAAAAAAGAACAAGATGAAAATGAACGAATTATGGAAGAACCTAATCAAGAAATTGTAAACATTGATAAAATGTTACCAAAGGATTCACTGGAATATATTTTACGTGCACCTGAAAATCTTCAACGAGAAATAGTCGACGTTGTTTTTGGTGATGTACAACAACCAATCCAATTACCTGAACATGACAAAAAATTGGACAATTTTGATCAAACTAGGTATTACAAATGAATTACACTTGTGTATTTTGTTTAGTTTGTGTTTTTTAAATTGTAAAGTGAAACTTTAAGTGACGTTTTCAAGTTAAAAACGATAATATTTGTTTTTCTTCTTTTTTTTTCCCATAGATTGGAAAATCGAATTGGTTCGAAGAAATTAGATGAGAAAGAATACGAGGATATCGACAACGTGTACGACGAATTAAAGAAATTATACGATTGGGAAGATAACGAAAATAAAAATGGTCCTCGTCTTAAAGGTGACCAACGAATGCATCCCGATGCATCTGAAGATGAACTAGAAATCAAGGCTAACGATAACAACAATAATAACAATAATAGTAACAACACATCGGAAAGTAATTATTTAGCATTGAAAAAAACGGATGATTTGTTTAAAGGTGGTTTAGAACAAAGTGATATTTTTGAAGAAAGATCATCTAACAGAAGTCAAAATCAACATCATCATCATCATCATCCTAATCATCAAAATTTGAACAATAATTATACCGGAAACATCGAATGGAAAGTTATCCCCGTAAACAATCATCATTTTAATAATTCTATTCTTATTTCATAAAATACAGTTAAACATTCTTTTATTTTCTACATACATCTATATATATATATATATATATATATATAGGTAGATTAGATATTAAATATTATTCCTCTATTTGTTATGGGGGTGAAGGGTAAGGGGTAGTAGTACATTACTTAAAATAAATGTTTTATCGCAGGTAGTGGAAACTATAAATGATTCACATTCCAAATCAAGCGGAGTGGTTCGATCGGGGTTATCCAAGCGTAAAACTGCGCCTGAAAACGATTCAGGTTCGCCTTATGAAAATGGAAAGTACCACGATACCATGAACGAACTTGAAGAAAATGTTCCAAACGTTATAGACGGTGATAAACGTTCGGTACTCGAATCTAAAGACATGCACGAATCATTCGTAGAACCAATGGATAGAATCGATGATTTTGACGATGATGTTAAAATTCGATTAGGAAGAGGTTTGAAAACTATCGATGATAATTATTTCAAAAATAATACTATCAACAATTATACAAATCAAATTCAATCAATTGACGAAGAACACTTTACTACAACTATGAAAACTATCAACATTTCTACGAAATATGAAATAATTCTTCATTCATCGTCAGCATCATCTTCATCGTCATTGGATAATTCAAACGTGACTGTTAAAAATGAAATGAATTCAATGAAGTATCAAAATAATGAAAATAATTCGAATGTAAATAATATCATAGATAATAATTCGAATAGATTTAACGTGACGATGAAATCACAAATATTGGCCAATAGAAATGCATCGAGAGTTAAACGTGATGGAAATTTTTATTCACTAAATTACAATAATCATGGAAAAAATCCTTACGAAAGTTATTATTATAATAGACGTTCGAAAGATTTAACGAATGATATTTACACGATTAATCCATACGAATATAATAATAACAATGATATTGATTTAAAATACAACAACGATATTAATAATATTTATAATAATGAAAACAAAGTTGATATTTTGAAGGATAAAAATATTCATGATGTTAATAATAGGAAAAGAAAGAAGAAAAAAAGGAACAAGATGCATAATAAAAAGAAGAGAAAGAAAAAGAAAAAGATGAAATTAAATCAAAGGAAGAACAGCAATAAGAAAAAAATGAAAAAGAAGAAAAATAGTAATTGGAAGATAACGAAAAAACGTGCGAGAAATTTGAACAACAAGTTGAACGATTTATACGGTGATTCGTTAAAAATTCAGAAAAAACGTTGGAAAAATAATCCTATTGCAAATTATCGTAATAATAATTGGAAGGATAGAGTTAAAAAGTGGCAACAACGGGAGAAAAGGAGACGGAAGAGTAAGATGAAAATGAATAAAAAAAAGAAGAAAAAGAAAAAGAAGGAAAAGAAGAAAAAACAAACGGATATTACGAAAATCAAGGACAATCATGAAATAGGAATTGTTAAAGGAATTCGAAGAAATTCTAATAACGATGGGATTGTTCAAAAGGATAATACAAAAATTCGAAACGTTAGTTCAATAATCTTCAATTTAATTCAATAATTTAATTTCTATACTAGATGATTTAAAATTGTTGATAAGGAGGGAGTTGATTATTAATTATTATTAATTTAAAAATTAAAAAACTTGTTAAACATTAATTCGTTTAAATTTAAGATTAACAATTCAATCTAATAAAAAGTAATAAACAATTATGACGAAATTGTTGTATTTTGTGTGTAAGAGAAGGAGAAAGAGAGATGATAGTGTGGATATTTTGTTTATAAATGTTGTTTGGATAAAGATGGTGCGATAAATAACGAGCAATGAATATACAGACAATGAGAAAGAAGGAGACGGAAAATGAGGATACTCATAGAAAGAAGCTAGCAATGTTCTTGACAGCTGACAACATGGAAGATGAATCTCAAATGGATTTGGCTCTTCATGGAGAATTGGCTGGAAAAATCGTTGAAAATATTTTTGAACAAGTAAGAGAGAATATTCGATAAACTTTCTTCACTTTCTCACTCACTATCTTCCTCTTTCTTCCTCTTTCTTCCTCTTTCTTTCTCTTTCTCTTTCTTTCACATTGATAGATGTGCAATGTAGAAACAACGTGGCGGCCGAGTGGTTAAACGAAAGGGAAAGTATTTTATCGATCATTTTTGCATCGTAGGTGCAAAGGAACGAGGCCCTTAAAGTTGCACTTGGTCCGGGACTTTCTAAAAAGAATCAACATCAGGATGAAATTGTTACTGATAAGATTTATCATCATCGTGACCTCGATGAAAATTATGTATGTTAATTAATAGTATTATTTCTTTTTTTTTTTTTTTGTTAAATAGTTAGAGACTTTCAATTAAAAGTTCTTTAAATTGAACAACTAAAGATTATTCTTTTGATAATAGATAAAACATACCGAGAAGACGATGAAGAAAATTATGGAACTTCTTGGTCGATTAGTTTTGGACGAGGTCCAAAGTAAAACTTGTGCAACATTGCCACCTGACATGCAACAATTCTTAGAATGGATCTTACAAATTAATGGAGATAAAGATTTACATATACAAGTAAATATTAAATTATTTTATGTACTTTTCTATTATTTTATTATTGATATAATAAATATATATACGGGATGATAACTACCAACACGAATTTGAAATAGGAACATGCAAATAATGAATATAAATGTTTCCTATTTGACCTTATTTCAAAGTTTTAATAATAATTTAATTAATTTAATTAACCTCTATTAATAATATAAAATTATTTTCTATTTCATTGTTCACGTAGAATCAGCCCTTAAATTGTTTGAACCACCAATTTACAAAATGCACTTTGAATATCATAAAAAGATAAAAATTAGATGCAGAAATTTCTTTTTAATATTATACAGAATAAATTATTGAATTATTTGAATTACAGACATCATCATTATTACCATTAACGACACACGAACAAGAAACAACTGAACATCCTGTAGACGATGATAAAATCATTTCTACTAAAATCCCTGATGAAGATATTGATAAAGATTTGAACGAATTTCAGAAGAAGATTCGAATATTGAAGAATCTTATAAACGAGTACAACGCTTTATCTGCTAAAGAAAAGATAAAAGTTCAGACTGTTCACGATTATCTGGTAATATCACGAAATAGATCAAATAATCTTTGATTATTCATTAAAATAAATGACATTAAAAAGAAACTTTGTATCATTTTTTTTTTTTTTTAGATGAGACAATTGAATTTACTTTTAAATTACATTAAAATAAAAGAAAAATCGAATAAAAATGCAACGAGTTTAGTTTCAAGGACAGCAGGTGTACACGGACATAATTCAGGATTTATTGTTCGTTATCAAGGTGAATCACCAAAATTAAAATTCGATAATAATCTGACGTTAATAAAAGATCCAAACGTATCGGAATATTGGAAATTAAACAATACAAGTTTTTCATTGGACATTGAAAGAAACAAACGTAATAGACCAATACGAAGTTATTACGATAATTATGTTAAAAGTAAAAAGAAACGAAAGAAACGTAAGAAACGTCAAAGAAAACGTCGTCGTAGACGAAACGAAATAAATGATGATAAACGACGAGATGATACGCCGGAATATCGAAAACTTGCACGTCGTGCTGCTGCCATGATAAGAGAAAAACGTGACGATAATTTGGATGACGAATGGAATCAATTTGATTTTAAATACGAACAACCAAAGATATATAAATCGTTGAATATTATCAACGAACCAATTGAGTAAGCAATTTATAATAATATAATCATTCATAGTTTGTACATCGTACACATTTTTTTATCATTCAAGAAAATAACATTTAATTATTACAGATTAATAATTAAAAAAAATATAAAATATTATATATTTAAATATATTTTTCGTTAAAAAAAAAAAATTTCATTTTATATTATTGTACAATAATATTATTATTATTAATAAGAATAATAATAATATGTAATTTTTGTTTTAATAGAAAAATAAGAAACGAACGTTCGATCGATCTACAATCAAAGAAAAAAAAAAGAACAACTTTAGAAACGAATAACATTACCATAACGAATTTTGTTAACAATCATTTTGATGATTTACCTGTGAAAGGTAAAAATCTTGCCGAGGATGAAATGATATTACTTAATAAACGTGAAGCTTGGAAAAAGGAAAACGAAAGGCAACTAGAAGAAGTTGCATTTGGTAAAGATATGAGAAATAAAATGAAAGAGGAAGAACAATTTAAAAGATTGATTGAAATTAAAGGAAACAAAATGACGAATGAATTAAACAAATTCAGAGAAAAACGTGAAAATCTTCAAAAAGAAGCAAATTTTATTATTCGATCTAATTCAAATAATGTCACAATGTTAAATATTAACGTTACTACTGTTTCGTACAATGAATTAAATATTGCAAATTTATCTTCCAATTGTGTTGATAATCAAATAATATCGTTGGAAAAATTAAATAATACGAATGAAAATGAAGAAAAATTGAAAATTATGAAACCTAAGATAAACGTTTTTTCCGATGATAAAAATGACACGTCTATAATGAATCAAATAATTATTTAAATAACGAGAAAGACATTTTTGAGATGATATTAAATATATATATATATATTAATAAGTTATATTAATTTGTATATAATATAACATAATATAAAATCATATAAAATAATATTAAATTATATAATAAAAAATTATAGAAAATTATCTTCTTAATATACATAAATTATGTCACGTCACGTTGTTTGTCCACAATGGACTCCTCAATTACTGAATCGATTTTAATAAAATTTTTCACACCGTGTGCAATTTCATCCAACTTGAAAGATACGATAGTTTATATCTCAATTTATAATCGCAATATTATTTTATTGCGACGAGTTATGTCTATGAAAAATAAAGATTGGACTTTTATACCCATCATTAGCAGCAACGTGTATTAACACGTATTGTATAAATTTATATACAATAAATAATAGATATAAAAGATATTAGTATGACAAATATTGAGGAAACAAATTAGAACGAATTAGAGGAATTAGAATTCAAAATCGATGTAATAAATCCGTCGATCTCTAGGAACGTCTAAATAATTTCATCTCGTACTAAACGAACGTACGAACGAACTAAACGAACGAGCGAACAAATCGATTGCGTCGGTTGGTCGCGTTATCTCGGTCGACGTGTTCACCCCATCTCATCGGTAGTAACAGACAGCTAGGCGAAACTTCGTAAATTGTCCTGTCGTTACGATCAACCGGATGTCCTCGTGCATTTACACGAACCTCTGTTACCTACCTTCGGTTCTGCTAATCTACAACCAAATTACTCTCAATGAGATCGAACTAATTGCAAAAGAAATGATCCTCTCCTATGTTGTTGTATTCTAAAACGATTACAACAACAAATTAACCCCTTCCTCCCCCGAAATTAGATATATGTATCAACCAATATGAGATGCCACTAACTAACAATTGGTATTAGTCACATTGTCAATAATAATTTGATCGTTAAAAAACACTTATAGGTAAAAAGCTTTGTTTCGTTCTTGGATAAAAATTCAAAAAGCCCCACCCCCCGCGCTTGCGGAAGAAGCGTATTATCGAAAACATCGCGAAAATGTGGTGAGAACGCGAGAATGCGAACGCGATTATTAAGCGCATACCATGCGTTTTTAACGATTCTCCTATCCTCTTACTCTTTCACCACTTCCTCTCCCACCTCCTCTTCTTCTCTCTTTCTCACTCTTTTCTTCTTTACATATATATATATATTTTTTAATCCCTTTTCTTCACAGTGCGCATACCGCGACCGTAATCCGAATTCCCGAAACAATGCTGGCTTTTCTTTCGTTACGGGGGATTGTCCTTATTTGCAGAATTCACTTTCCAATTAGAAGGTTTACAAATGTGCATTCGATTATACGAATCGTACGAATTAACACGGTGTATTATTGGCCCACAATCGAAGCTTTTTCTACGTCGTCGTTGTCGTCAAGATAATATCGATCACAGGAGTGTAAGTGGTTGTAAGTGTGCAAATGAGAGTGGGGTGATTAACGATATTAGCTTTGATAAGTTCATTAAACATATCTGACAATGAATACTCGTCGCGGTACAATTCTATCGAAGAATTGTAGAGATCGTGTTCTCGAAATCCCTTCAAAAATCTTTTCTATTTTCTCTCTCTCTCTCTCTCTCTCTCTCTCTCTCTCTCACACACACACACACTCTTTTTTATATATATTTATTTATTTCACGAATTTGGTGTAAACCTATATTTTCTTATAATTTTCTTAAATACCACTTTGAGTGTTCCAAATGAAACCATTCAAATATTATATACAGTAGGTAGAAAACATATTGTATTTTTGATTTGCGAGTTATTACAAAAGAAAATGAAATGGTTCTTAATAAAAAAAAAAAAAAAAACATAGGTCGAAAGTTCAATCCTTTCTGTGATTTAAACTAATTTTTGTTAAATATATGTTAAGCATTCTCTAATTGATTTTATTGTAATATATAGTAAACTAGGGATGCCCCGCCACGTTAAAAGTTAGGGCACTTTCAAAATAAATGTCTCATACATAGAAATAAAATAAAATGAAAAATAATAAAGCGAATAGAAATGTATCCTATCGAATTAGGTATTCTTTCACGTGGTATCTATCTATCTAGAACCGCGTAGTATTTAAAATTTCAAAAGAGGATTCGCGAACGGGCCTCACATAGATCCCGGTAGTTGTATAATACGAAATTCTCTTTAACCATAGGGTGGGTGGGGATGAGGGACAACGCTTCATCGTATTCGCTACCTTTCTCCTGTAATATTAAACACCTTCGGCTTGGTTACAAAAAAATGGCTTTTGGTAGATCGATAATTTCTTTGTCCCTATGAAAAAAATATAATTTACAGGATAGAACAGAGAGAAAGAGAGTAGAAGTAGAGGAAAACGGGCTTGGGGATGGGGTGGGGGAGAAATAGGTTGGAAAAGTTGAAAAATAAAAAAAAAGAAAGAAATTGCGTCTGCTCGTTTCCGTGTTTTAACCTCCATTAGTGGCCTAAGCTTCGTACACTCCAATAAAGATAACGTAAGTGAGAGAGAATAGTAACATACACAGAGAGAGAGAGAGAGAGAGAGAGAGAGAGAGAGAACAAAAAGGGGTGGGAGAGTTCTTGGCATAGCAACAACTTAATGTTATGTAAAGATAGAAGGGGTGGAGGAGGAGGAGGAGGAGGAGGGAGGGGTTTGGTTGGTCCTCCGTAGAGGACCCTTTCCTTCTCGAAAACCCCCGGGTGTATATTAATGCGCGAGAGGTGGTGGTTAGGGGGAGTTAAGGGGGAGTTAAAGGGGAGTTAGGGAAATAGAGATTCCGCGAGATGTTGCGAGTCGCTAGAAGGGATGATGCGGCTAGTAAAACGCGACTGAGAGAAAGAGAAAGAGAAAAAAGAGAAGAAGAAGGAGGAGGAGGAGGAGGAGGAGGAGTCTGCAGATGCTCACCGTTGAATATCTAAATAAATCCGCGTGTCGACCACCCTTAAAATCTCGTCGAATAAGTAATAACGTTCGGCGTGAGTGAACCCAACTTCTTCTTCTTCTTCTTCTTATTCTTATTCTTCTACTACTACTGTTACTACTTTCAGTTATTTCATCCCTTTTCTCTTTCTATCTTTTTTACATTCACCCTCTATAAGCTTAGCCAACCCCTTTTTAACTTGCATAAGCGAGCGCATCCGATTTTGGGACTTTAATTGGCTTAAGGGGGTGGGCTTGGAGGTGGGGAAGGGAATTCCATCGCGTGGAAATTTTGGGGTAGGAGACAATTTTTTTGTTTTTTTTCTTAGATATTTTCTTACTCGTAGAAAGAAACGTAAGGATGAAGTGGGGTTGAGTGTGTGGAGATTGGAAGAAACCTATAAATATGGTTCTTTCTTTTTTTTTTTACAGTTTACTTTCCTCCAAATTCATATATATTACTGTAACTGATAAGAAGATAAGGGATTTCTTTTTACCTAGGATTTTTGTACGTCGTAAATTATCGGTCAGATCGTTGGTAGTTATGGAAAAAAGGGAAAGGATTATTATAAGGGAAAGGGGATATTCTCGAGGTGATTAAAGATTCGTAAGATTTTATTGAAGCTCGTCCAACAGAGGGTTGCTGTTGTTGTTGTTGTTGTTGTTGTTGCGTTCTTTTAAACGAAATAAGAAGAAGAAGAAGAAGAGAAGCATGAAGCCTTATTTTTGTTTAAAGAAACAACTTGGAAGAGGAAGATGACTATCAATTTCCGAGCAGCTTTTAAAGAACTTCGGATAAGTTAAGTTAGTATATATATATGTATATACCTATATCTATATATAATACATACACAACACCTACGAGGTATTTAATAATAAACTTGAGAAAGTTCACAGGTGTCGTAATCGCCGGATAAAAAGAACTTTTTCAATTCTTTTTAAAGTGTTAAACTGTATTTTTTTTATTTTTTTTTTTATTTGTTCGTTTTGATACCATTTTATTTTTAACGTTCAATTTTGTTTTTTCTTATATATAATTTGTATTTTATCTAATTGAATTAAGTTATCAATCTATCAAGACGATCTAATATTATAATTAATTGTACGAAAATTATTGAGTATAAGAAAAAATAAATAAATAAATAAATAGATAAATAGATAAAGAGAGAGAGAGAGAGTTTCACTTTGATTTAAGCGTCGAGTACCGGATTGGTAGATAGAGAGTCGAAAGGGATAAAGCTCGTCAAATCCATCACGATTATAGGAATTCGCGGCTGAACGAGGCTATCGGTATTGAGAGAAAGAAAGACAGACAGACAGTTAGACGAATGGACAGACCAATGGATAGACAAAGAGAGAAAGAGAGAGAAAGAGAGAGAAAGAGAGAGAGAGACAAATCAGATCGATCACCGATAACATAATCACGAAATTCAATGACGAGCAATAGAACGCGCGTTGATCATTTCAATAATTCAACATGGTTTATATAAAATAATTCTAAAAAAAAAAAAAAAAAACTTAAATAACAAAACAAATTAGAAAAATTTTAATACGAAATGAAAAGACATAATAACATCTGAATAATTTAATATAATTTCTTCTTAAATCTATAACGATCTTCACCGAAGTAAATGTAAAAGAAAATGGACAAATAAAATAGGAATAAAGAAGTTTAGTTCTGGAAAGGTTCTCCTGGCACTCGGTTCTACAATGACAGATGATATTTTCACGTATCATGATCGTAACTAGGATAGTATTCTATGTATCCTTCAATATACATATATATACACACAGAAATAGAGAGAGAGAGAGAGAGAGAGAGAGAGAACACTAGGATAGGATAGTAGTAGCACTAGCAATACTAGTAGCAGCAGCAGTAGCAGTAGCAGCAGCAGCAGCAGCAGCAGCAGCAGCAGTAGGCAACAGCAACGTACCCTGGCCTGGCATCGTCGACATGTCGATAGCAGACCTCGCCGTGCGATACATCCACCGATATCTCCGTACTAGCATGGTTAGAGGAGAGAGAGTAGTATATCCGCGACCCATCCCATCCCCCTTTCGTTCGACCACTAAATGGCCGAGCGGAGGAACCCACCACCCCCCTTATGGTGCTCAATTATTGATACTTACCCTACTCTCTCTCTCTCTCCCTATTTCTCTCTCTCTCTTTCCTATATATCCATGTGGGTGTAGTATACGTGTATCTTTAGATGTGTATATATCAGGGGTTGGGTTGAGTTACGAACCACAGGACTCTTTCAACTGTACCATAGGTATTTTCTTCTCCTCGTGCTCGCCCTTTATCTGAGATGCGTCGGGTTCCTTCTATTCCATTGCGGAATGCATTTCCCCACTCCTCCCTTTCCCAATAACCAGGATCCCCACCGTCACTTTTAGACCACCACGTAAAAAATTGATTCACTTGATACCTTGAAAAAACGACGTATGGGAAAACGGAGAAGATGAAATGACCGTACCGATTGATTTCCTTCTTTTTTGGTTTTGGTTTTTTTTTTTTCTTGAAGGGTCGAGTGATTTTTTTGATTCCTGACTTATTGTGTTTTTTCTTTTTGTTTAATCTTATAAGATTATAAATCAATGGAAATTGATTATAAGATGATGGGAGGGAGGTTTGTGAGAGATAGGGTATATAATATATTACTAAAATTTGATAAGGGTTTAAGTATGAGAACCACTGAGCCACGGAATGGCCTCGATTAACCGTTTGATCGGCTAAAGGCAGTGGTCAACGTTTTCCAGCCGGCCAGCTCGGCCTATTAGATCCTACTACGGGGTTATGTCTGGGTTGTCGAGCTTTTTTTCGGCGTAAGCGAACGAAATCGTTTCTGTGTTTCTTTCCTACCCCCTACCCCTATCTGTATTATATATATATGTGTGTAGTATGTACGTATTTATCTTACGGTTCAGAAACTCGCATGTGAACAGACTCAATTCTTAAGAAACGAAAGAAATAACAAGAAGAAAATCCCTCAAATGGATTATATTTATTTGCTTGAATAATTTTCAAATTATTTTTTCA